TGTCCCCGGGTATTTTGCCCCGCCGCTGCACGATCCAATGCAACGGCGGGTGAAGCAGGTGTTATTCCTTGCAGCCTGGCTTCCGGTGCGCTTCATCCAGGAACCAGTGATGCGATTGGAGCATGCTGGAGCGATCACACCGGCAACTCCGTCCTCAGCCCATCGCAACCTTGTTTGATAGTGGACTTTCCGTGGTTGTTTTTTACTCCGCTTCTTTGGCTGACCAGTACAGGTTGCCGACGGGTGCAAGACACTGGTCATGGTCAGATGTGTCTGTTTGATTGTGCCAGTAAAATCTGGCCAGCGTTTGTGAGTATCCCACGGCAAATTCTGCTTGTGATCAGGGCCGGGGACTAGAAGCCTGCATAGCCTTTTGATGCTTACCTCACTCTTCCGAATTTGCACGTAGATGCATCTTGGTATTGCTCTCTTTAACACAGCAAAGACAAATCACATTGTACAGAAAACACATAACCTTTTTATTTTAAAACCTTCAATGAAAACAACTTTCCATATGAAATCCCATTTTTTAAAATGTATACCAACCTAGCTATGGGTCAGCTACATTATACAGATTGCATATTTTAAAGAAACCTAAATATTTGATGGAGTATTTACATAGGAATCCATTAGGTAGTAAAGTTTCACTGCAGTTGATATTTTTCTAGCACATACTTTATTCAGTGTCAAAGTATTGGGGATGAATTGGTAGTTATCTAGAAAGGCTTATGACTGGATAGTCATTTAGGGTCAGTTTTTCCTGAGAAAACATTTGTTCTTGAAACTTTTGTTTTAATAATCAGTAACACAGAAGTAGAACATCTTTGTTGCAATAAAAACCCTAAAGGGATGCCTAACTTTTCTTTTAAATTATTTACGTACCATTAAGTTAAAAAGTTTACATTCATTCCATTCATTCATATAAAAACTGTTAAATCTTATGCTTACGATTTAACACTGATTGCTGCAACACAAATTGCACTTTTATATAAAAAATTATTGAATGTAGGGAAGGGGGAAAATCTGAATGCTACCCTGTTGACAATTTCTGACTATATATAGTTCAGTCACAACATAGGAAACTCCATAAACCTCCATCACAGTACATGTGAAAAGCAATAATGCAGCCTTGCAAATACTTTAAACAAACGTTCTTGTTAGCCAGTCCTAACTTGAGAAGGGTGCACCAAATATGATTTACTTTGTTGGGTGAGACTGAAATCTGTTTTGTTTTTTAAAAGCTATTCAGAAACGTGGGCATGCTGTGAGGAGAAGACTGTAGCTGGAACACTGACTTGGGAGAGGAGAACACATCAAACTGTCAAGTTGCATGATGCACGCGTTGGAATCAGCCACATGCTCATTAGCTGTTCTGTGTCGCACTATCCCTGATAATGAAAGCTTTTGCCTACTTTTGTCTACAAGAAATGTCAACACCAATCAGATCCTGAATGTCAGTTGAGTGGGAGTGACACAAATACATCATAATCCTCAAATGCATAAGGCAGCGCTGGTAGCCGTGGTGAAGATTTACTTCTGGGATTTATCAATAGTGCAGAAGGGCACCCCTGGTGGAGGTGGGACTAACAGAAGTGGCTTAAGTTCCCTTGATTCTCTTGCATAGCTGAGGATCTGGACAATCAAACAGAGACCTTGAGAGTAAGCACCTCTAGAATCAAGGCACCGAGACAACTGGCAAGGAATATCCCTGCCAGCACTTTCATTGCTTCTTGGTCTGCTCGATACAAGGAAAATACAAAACGCAAAGGGTAGCCAACTACGGGTTGCAGCCCAGTGTAAGTATCCGTCTCTATCACCACCAGTTCATGCTAGTGCCAAGGCGCACCAGGAATCTTGTCTCACGGAGGCTGTAACTTCTGCAGTAGAGGTCAGGCTGACTCCTGAATATAGCCCTTCCTGACCTGAGTATTTGAGTGTGCTAGTCTCAGGACTGGTGCTCTCTCCTCGGCTTGGCATCACTGAAGAGACTGCCTGCAGCAAAGATAAAGGGCGGGGAGGGGATTAAGTAATGCACCTTTGCCAATAAAACCATTTTTGCCAGGAAACAGAAGTTCTGTTTGTATGCACAGCAAAGGCTCCATGTAGCCTGCAAGGCCTGAGCATTTGCTGATGTCAGCACATGAACTGCATCTAGTTTTATAATCCACCAGTTCACACGTTAACATTTCTCCACTCAAACAAGCATCCAGCAACACTATTCATATTGTTCCTTGGAATCATGGTTGCAAACATGGAGGCCACCCCCTCCCCAGGCTTTAATAAACAGTTTAGGAATAACAAGAATTCAAGAGAACTGTTGTTGTTGTTCAGTCGCACAGTCGAGTCCGACTCTTCGCGACCCCATAGACCCCATGCATATACACAAAAGCTTATATTTTGTTTGTCTTAGATGTGCCAGTGGAGTCAAACTTTGTCCACTAGCTTTTTGTAAGTCTGCTTCTCACTTTTATACAAAGAGACATGTGACACACACACACACACACACACACACACACACACACAGAGAGAGAGAGAGAGAGAGAGAGAGAGAGAGAGAGACTATCTGCTGCTTGAGCATCCCAGGAAAGGAGAAAAACTCACTCACTCATGCTAATTTATGCCTTCCTGTACCCACTCTGCAAGGGAGAATTTTAATGACTTCTTAAAATGGGCATGTTTTCCCTCTCTGTCTGCAATTTGACAGGGAGAGGGAGACAGTCAGCTCCTGAGAATTCCATCCCCATTAGGAGGGGGACGAGTGATATTTGGAAATGTGTTTCCGGTTAAACCCAATAGTTCCAATGAAACAAATTATCTTAAAAGATACCTGACCCTGGATCTAGGGTTGTTGTTTTTTTTAGGGGGGGGGAGAGAACTCTTCTAAGTACCTGCCCTCTTCACATATAAAATAGTTGAGTACAGCCAAATTTTAACATCGAAAGAGGAGCTGAGCCTTCCCTCTCTCCTGCCTTCCCTTCTCGTTGCAGCTGGCTGTCTTAACTCCCCCCCCCCGCCCCCCAGCCCATCTCTGATATTGGAAATTATCTAAGGGCTGGGGCAGGGGTGGCCAAACTCGCTTAATGTAAGAGCCACATAGAAGAAACATCAGATGTTTGAGAGCCACATGAACAAGTATTCCACACATATTTTTAATGGAAAATATACAAATTTGCTTTTTATTAACATTAAATAAGACTGCCAGGAATAAAAAAGGGGTAAAAAAAAAAAAGATAATGATGATCATATTTAAAGAGGCAAATGCTTTCTCCAAGCTGGTCAGAGGGGGTGTCTTTGAGAATGTATTTAAAGTTGCTTTCTTTCTCTGCTCCCACCCCTACCTCAAGCCTACCCAGGGAGGGGAACACTGGCTAGGGAAGGGAAGACCAGATGGAGAGGCATGCCTCCCCTTCACTTCCCCAGCCACCCTGCCAGGAGCTGCACAATATGTGTGAAAGAGCCGCAGTTTGGCCACCCCTGGGCTGGGGGAAAAGCATTTGGAGAAATGGATCTTGGGCTGGGAGAGAGGGAAAAGTTCTGCTGTCCTCATGAATGTGGCCCTTCAGAGTCCACAGCATCTTATACATTGACGGGGGGAGACACGTGAACAACAAACATGACTATCTCCATTGCATCTAGTTTGGTCTTAGATTTTGTTCTCTCATGTTACACTGTTGGTATGGGAGGCATTCAAGTTAGGGTTGCCAGCTCTGGGTTGGGAAATACCTGGAGATGCAACAGAATCCATCTTCCAAAGTGGTTGTTTTCTGTAGGTGAACTGATCTCTGTCGCCTGGGGACCAGGAGACCAGCCTCCTTCCTGGCTGTCATGTAGATTGGGGGGGGGGGATGTTTTGGAACGCTGAGTTACTGGTTTTATTATCTGTCTTCTGTGCTCTATGACCCTGAGTGCCTGTTGTAGTCTTTCTCCTGGCAAATATTACCTGTTACTTTGGCGGGCTTCTGCTGGCTACCTAATTGGCTGGGGGCCATCAGGGGACCCCTTTGAGTTATGTACATCTATTTGCTTTGCACGCTTTCTCTTTAGTTCTGACACGGAACAGTTAAGATACCTGTAGCATTACTGTCTCAATAAACTTCACTTATCTGAATGAACATTGTTGGGAACTGATTGCCTCAGGAGTCTGACAGTTGTAACCCAGGAGGTCTCCAGCCAACACCTGGAGGTTGGCAACTGTAGATCAAGTGCTTCTTTTTTTCTGTTCTCCCAAAGCCATGAAATATGACCAAATCCAAAACAGCAACACTCTGATCTGCATTAATTACCCACGTTTCAGGAAGAGTAAAACAGGCCAGGAAAGGTGCTCCAGCATGGGGACTTCCCAGGTGGTCCAGGCTTCTTATGTTGCCCCAGCAATGGGCTTCTGTGACCCCCATGGTGCTGGAGTTACATGAGGCCTCAGTTTTAAAGATCCATTAATGCCTTCTATATATAAACATCTAAATCACCAAAAGCATGCACTAGGAATCAATAAGGATGAGAAATTTTAAAATGCCAAAGAAAAGAAAACATTTTTTTCCATAAATCCATCCTGAGTCTATCAAACATAAAGTACCTTGTCATGTCGGGTACTGAAATGGCAACATTTTACTATGAAAAGCTTAACAAATGCCATTGTTCACAGTTCTTACTAACACTAACCTTAAAGTGTCCAAACCCGGATATACTTTGAACGCTAAAGATGCTAGCGTCCCCCGAGTTTAACCGCTGAACAGACCCATCATATTTTAGGCAAACGATGTTCCCTTCTGATTCATTTACTTGAGACAAAAGCAAAACGCTTTCCTGCTTCATATGCTGGACTTGTGCCAAGTGAGCAATTTTCACAGACATAAACTGAAATGTTCTTCAGTTTATCTCAAAATTACCCAGTGGATTTAGAAACCAAATGGTAGCAGTTGATGAATCTTCCTGGGGATTGGGGAAAGGTGGTATGAGCAACATTGGCTTCAAATAATATTTTCTCATTTTTCAAATAAGAATTTTACAATCAGGGTTTTTCTCCCTGACAACCCAGCAAATCCAGATTCCCTACTCTTGCAAATTTGAGGCATATGAACAGTTTAGCAGACATAAATTAAAATTAGAAATGTTCCTTTTAAATTATATTATTAGTTACCACTAAAACCTCTGAAAATACAATGCCAATTCCATCTCTCTACCCTTTTAGGGGCCTAGCATAAGACCAATGCAGCCCTTGCCCATCCTTCCCTTGGACCTCGGCATGGGTCCACTGCAGCATGTTTAGTAGAAATCATAATAATAGTATTCATCTTGACAGCCATGTTTCTCTTCATTCCTTCTGTTAACTAAATGTATCTATCCCACTTCAGTGAATGACAACTCATAGTGGAACTTCTCTTTCCAGATAACTCAGTTGAATCAATCTGCTATTGTTATTAATTTGTTCCTTGGCACTCAGTGTCTTTTCTTTATGTACATGGTATCCAGTCAGTCTGCTCAGCTAAGGACTGGATGTTCCACGGGCACATGCCATTTCTGTTGGCAAAAGGCACCTCTCACCAACACAAGAGGTTATTCCACTAGTGGAGTCCCTTGCATCAGTGTGGGATGCATTTCACATCCTTGAAATGTCCAAATGTAACACAATTCATTTTCCTGGCACTTAAACCACAATGTACTGTAGCTAGGAAAATGCATTTCAGCAACAGATTTATCCCCTTTCTGAATACAGAACAAAATGCAGCTTCATAAATATCACGGGCTAAATACAAAGTAGGGAGCAGCTTTCATTGTCATATAGGACAACAGAAATGAGTCCTGGTCAGTGTTCCCTCTAAGCTGAGTTAGTGTGAGCTAGCTCACAGTTTTTTAGCCTCTGGCTCACCCATTTTTGTCTTAGCTCAGGAAGGATGGCTCCAGAGCAAACTAATGTATGCAGAAGCCAAATGACTCGCTCGCAACTTTAATGCCAGGAGCTCACAAAGAAGATTTCTTGCTCACAAGACTCCACAGCTTAGAGGGAGCATTGGTCCTGGTAGCCCAAAAATCTGTAATATTGATGCTTTATTAATTGTTTCTATATTTGAATTATGTAATACATTTGGTAATACATCTAATTTTACTTGTTGCATGTAACAAAATTGATGAATCTATATTTCCCCCCTCCCCTTCTTCCCTTCTGTATCCTACCTTTTTTCCTTGAGAAAATAATAACAAATAATTTTAAGAAGAGAAATGAGTCCTGCTGCTCTGTACATTATTTTTGGGTTGACTGCAGGGAGGTCAAATTGCAGATTGGTATTCCGTCACCTGGCCAAGTCACAATGTCAGTGTAAATTGGAGAAAGGGTCTGGGGAAAGGCCATACCTGCAAAAACAGCTGACTTTTCCTCTGCAGGGAGATCTGGTACACACATTGAGAACCATGGTACTAGATGGGCGGGCACAATCTCTGCTTAAGGAGCAGGTATAGCAGAAGTGACCTTAGTCAGAATGCTAGCCCTGTTCCACACAGCTACTAAAACAATGTCAAGCCATTCATACACACGCCAAAGTCAACCTAATCTTTCAGTACATTTTTCACAATGATTTATTTATGGCACAGGTTCTCATGCTGCTGCTGGTTTTGTAATTGTACTGCTTGAAGGTCCAGCACCAAACCCTATTTTAGGCACAAAGAAAACATGTGAGTGCCTTTATCAGTGGCACTGAGCACAGCAGAGAGTGCAGCTGTGTGTGACAGACGTTGGGTCTGGGCAACATGACAACCCGGGTAGATATTCAAAACATAATATCAGTGTGAATTCCAGAAGCTGACCTTGTGATAAGTGATAAGAAGCTGGAATGGAAAAATGGTAAGACTGAACTATAATATGTGTACTTGATGGATCCCAGGCTTTTATAAATGATTGCAGCATTTTCACAACCAATTTCATTTGTTGTCGTAAAGTAGACCTGTTTTACACCTATTGAAACTGCCAGTCAAGAGCCAGGTACACCTTGATTGAGTTC